GTCCAGTTGGTTTTAACTAGCAAGGAATGTAAGCAGAACGAGAGTACACAGGTAGTGCCGGCAGGACGAGGCTGGCCACACTTATCAAGTCTGTGCTTGTGCTATTCCTTATCAGCCATGAGTGGTGTTTCCCAAATAGGTCTCCTGTGATCTTAGCGGTTTATTCTTAGTTCTCCTTCAGCTACTTTCAAACCTCCCAAATTGTTCAGCTCTTAAGAAGTTCCAAAACAAGCATCTGTGTTCCTGGAATCTTACCCTTCACTTTGCTGGAGAGCATATACTAAGGCTTCTTCTCCAGCCAAAATAATAAAAGCTCTTTTTAGTGGCTGAAGTTCTCTGTTCATTACAGATATGCCAATGTCCAACAACTATAAATAGGAATATTTGGAAGAAAAATAGTGAGAGTCTTTATAACTCCAATGAAATAAAACAGAATGTTTTGAAGGCAGTTAGAAAACAGTCATGTATTTATAAAATTCAGAGTTGTCTCCTTTTAATCCAAAATCCTCTTTACGTAGGAAAAGCCCACCCAGATCATGCACTTCTCATATGAGGAAATACAAAAGCTTTCTTTCCTTATTAATATATTCATCTATATTAATTACTCTGAAATCTGCAATTAAGCTATCTTCTTTATTGTCCTTTGAGTTTAGATATCTGCTGGACCTTTTGAAATTTTTCTCCCACCCCTGCTTTGTTTTCCCAGAATCCTAAAAATTCCTTCAAAGGATAAAATTATGCCCACGGTTACTGGTATAAAATGAAGTCAGAAGGGAACTGCATGGGTGTTTCCCAGAGCAGAGTTGGCCCTAAAATAAACTGGGTCACTGTGAGAGCTATTTGAAAGAGACTTAAGGATTCATTTCTCAACAAAATTCTGACTCTTAGGAAAGTTACCACATCTACTAGCTTCAATAGCTGGGTTAGACCTATTTTAAAAGACATTCTTTAATTTTGCACAGTGACTTACTTCTTATCTTAACCTGACCATCTTATATAACTCTTCGACATTGAATTCAAATTAATTCTTACTTTGAACCTATTATTTCTGTACAAGAGAAATTATTTCAGTTTTACAATCTTTGGACAAGAAAATCAGTTAGCAGTGACGGAGTAAACCAGCATTTGTTTAATCATCTTCAGATGCAGCTTTTCTGAATCTGTACCTCACTCTGAAGTAAGAGATACTAAAATGTCAATGATGGTTGCAAGGTCACAAGACCATCTGAAGGAAGAATCAATAATACAATAAATGTCTCTAAATTCTGTTTGTGTAAATTGTATTAGGTTCAAATTAAGTTTGAAGCTACAGCTTGGCTATACCGATTCAATATGTAACTTTTTTTGAGATAACAGAAAGTATTCATAATTTTTTTCATGATGACTATATTACTTAGTGTTTTCTAAAATAAATCCTAAGGTAACAAAATCAAGATTTATAGGCTCTTAAAAATAACATGTTTCTAAACAAGTCATATTTATTGTTTTTAATTCTTACCTCAAAATCATCTTTAATATTTTTCCTAAAATATTTTAAAAGTAATCTAAGTAGTGGCAGTAGTAATCTAAGGGTAGCAGACCTCTCCTGACCCCCTTGTTGCTCCACTCAGCAGTGTTTTTCAATCAATCCACCTGTTCTGGCTCCCATTCTGTCTCTGATGAATCCTCTTACTCTCCACACCTCTGGCCTGTACCCTAGTTCTTGTATGCAAAAATAAATAAATAAATCTTAAAAAGAAAATAAGGATGGAATTTAGTTTCTTAAATGACTGAATTAAATCTAATCTTTAAAAAAGATTACATGATGGTAAAGATTAAAAGATACTAAGTAAAGTTATTCTATCTGAGTAGAAAAACAAAAAAAACTACATATGAAATGTAACATTTCATCATTATTTTAACCTCATTTCTATAGAAAAATTACAAATCTTATGTTCACAAAAAATGCAAATAAAATCTCTCAAGTGGGGCCCTCCCTGGTGACGTAGCAGGTTAAAGCACTGCATTAAGAAGCTAAAGCTACTTCCACATGAGTTTGATCCCTGCCTGCCCCAGAGGTGATTCACAGGGTGCTGTAGACCTCTCCTGATCCGCTCGCTGCTCCCCTCAGCAGTGTACTTCGATGATCTGCCTGTTCTTCTCCCCACTCTGTCTCTGGTGAAGCCTCTCACCACCCCTGCACCTCTGGCCTATACCCCAGTTCTGTATGCACAAATAAATAAATCTTTTTTTTTTAAAGATTTATTTATTTATATAGAACCGGGGTACAGGCCAGAGATGCAGAGGGTGAGAGGATTCACCAGAGACAGAGAGGGGAGCAGAACAGGCAGATCGACGAAGTACACTGCTGAGGGGAGCAGCGGGCGGGCCAGCAGAGGTCTGCCACGCCATGTGGTCACCTCCGGGGCAGGCGGGAATCGAACTCATGCGGAAGCGGCTTTAGATTCTCAATGCTGTGCTTTAACCCACTGCGCCACCAGGGAGGGCCCTGCACAAATAAATAAATCTTTTTAAAAAATCTCTCAAGTGGCAGATCTTGAAGAGAAATTGTTCTTATTTTATGAAAAATCACATTCTGAAGCCTCCCTGGTGTTGTAAGGGTCTGAGTCTCATTGCTATGATTGCTGGTCTGACTGCATTCCCAGTCAGGGAGCTAACACACGTGGCACAGCAGACTTCTCCTGTCTTGCTTTTCTCCTTAGCAGAGTATTTCAGTAAATCCACCTGTTCTGCTTCCCACTCTGTCTCTGGAAAACCCTCTCAATCCCTTCCCCATCTCTGGCCTACACCCCAGTTTGTCAGTGCAAAAAAAAAAAAAAAAAAAAAAAAAAAACAAACAAAAAACAAAGACCACATACGCATTCTAAAAAATTAGTGTTGTCATTCAAAATAAAAGTATATTTTCTGACATTTAACATTAAACAAGAAAATTTTAGAAGATGAATGCAAAGCACACAGTTTTAAAACTTCCTGGGGCAACAATACCAGAGGACCACACACCAACTTTTGTCAATGACATTAACTACTTCTGTTAAGTGAATTTAATTATTTCTGTTGTGACATAATGATATCACTCAGAGAAAGGAAAGCATCAGGTCTTAGCTGGTTAGAACAAAATGGAGCAAAGCCAAGCTTGAATATTAGTTTAATTTTCTTTTTCTTTTTGAAAGACATGAAATAATAGTTTCTCCTGGAATAGAAAATGTAAATGGACAAAAGTATCTTTTCTGAGAGGCAATCCATTAACCACTGTGGAATGGTTGAACAAGAAGGCTGTCTGCCTGGCCTGGAGTCCTGGACACAAGTCACCAGAATTTCATGGGGGAATGTGCCAGTTTAAATGGATTAGAACACATTCAACAGAGGATTTAGGAGAAGTATCTCTTAGCGTCACCTATAGACCTCCTCCATCCTCATCTTGTCTAGACCATTTTAAGTGGATGACATTGCCATTGATTTCCCTGGCTGATTTGGAGGTCATTCTAGCTCTGACTCTTTGAAAGAAAGAAATGGAGAGTTGTCTGAATTGGAAAGTATTTGCCACAATGCTGCTATGTGTAGATTTGCCCAATATTCCTGTTACTTCAAAAATGGAACTGGTGATTCAACTATTTTATCAAGAGTTGGCTCATAAATGACAAGCTACTTAGACAAACTTTTCTGAGCAACAATGAGAGGGGAATGTGTTGACTATTTAATTGAGACAGGAACTGTATGCTTATTTATTTGCTGTATAAAAAACAATAGATTTGACACACTGAGTAAAGTGAATGGGGAGCGGGTGGGAAGGATTGGGGTGAGGGTTAATGGATGAGGGATACACATAGAAGTCCCGCAGCAGAGGGCATGCCTCCTACAGGAGGCTGGATGCTAAGAAGTGACTCTTCAAAAAGCAAATGCAAAGACTTTGTCAGATAAAAGTGAAACCAGTGTGTTCAAAATTTGAATTTAATCAAAATTAATCACCATGGTAGAAGACTACAGGAGTTCTGGTGGTGGGAAAACTATGGTGATCACAACTGAAGGTAGAAATCCTATATTGTGAAAAAAAAATGATGTAAAATAATGATACATCATTAATGAAAAAAGTATATATTATAAAAAGTTACCAAATGTTTCAAATGAGCTACTTAGTACTTAATCATTCTATGTGTTCCTCACAATAAACACTGCCCATCCACTGATAGCATCAATGAAATAATTTTTATTATAAAAAGATTATTTTTTTCAATTTCATCACCAATGATATCTAAAATTAAATATGAAAACAGCAAAAAGTGAGGTAATAGCACTTGTTTTCCCACAAACAAAATTTTACTATGATAATGATAGTTAGCTTATTTAGTTAAAGCAGTCCCAGTTAACTTCTCCTGATGTATAATGCTTGAAATGTGTTATCCACCGTGATTGGGGTGAATTAGTTACTCTGCTTCCTAACTTTGAGTGATTCCCTATCAGGCTGGCTTGTAATAAAATATCTGAATAAACTGGGGCATCCAGATCTTGAGATTTCATCAAATGTTGAAATCAACAAACAAAACTACTTCAACAACGTCAGATGACGGAATAGAAATTACACTTCAAATGATGCATGTACTTAGCCTCCCAATAAGACTTAGGGGAAAAAATTTTAAAAATCTGTAAGATCAGTTTCATCTAGTTGGAAGATCATCATCAACATTACTGAGATTAGCAAGTTAGTCACTATTTTGTATTTAATAAATACTATTTTGTTGGTAATAAAAATCTTTCTTGGAATCTATTAAGAAAAAAGAAGATTGTATCTCAATCTTTTACAACTCTGAAGAAATTCACATTGCTCTAGGAACTCAAACTCACGTGAGCATAGAAGCTCGTAGATAGTCAGAGCTTAACAACTTTTTAATGAATGGCTCAATGATTGGGTGATTGGAGAACAAGATGAACAAATGAAACTGTCACTTTCAGGAGCACTTTAAAGACTTGACAAAAGTGAGAATAACTATAATATGTATACTTACTTATTCCATGCTTGTCTAAGGTTTTTAGAGCTGTACAGAGTAAAGCGTTCTGAAATAAAAAAAAAAAAATCTTTGTTTCAAATCATATATTGCAAGTATATTACAGAACAGAAATTTCAAATTTTAAAAAAACATTTACTCACAGCTATATTAGCTACTATATTAGCTATGTTAGTGAGTCTTAACCTCCAGATTGAATAGCTTTAAAAAGTACAACAGGAGGAACGTCACATTTTAAACAATTAAGCACTGTTTTCTTTTTTGGGGGGGGCGGGGGGGTGGATGGGAGGGTATTACATAATCTGGTTTCCCAGTAGCTAGCTAGAATAACTAAGTTTAATTTATTAAAAAAAAAAAAGAAATGCAAATTCCATCCCTTCAAATTTAACAGTATTCATAAAAGAATACTAACACATCTAATATCAGTTAAGTGAGACACACAAGCTGTTTTCTCTACGGGAACACCTTTGACCTGATTCAGCAATATTGGCTTTCCTTTCGTACACTATTTGCTATTTACATATGCTGAAAGTCAAACTACCAATATACCTATATACCTATACAACTATAATGTATATTTATATTTATCATTGAACAATCTTTATTACATTTTTAAAGCTAACAAATCACATGTTTGCTTTACCAAATTAGACAATAAAGAAGCACAGACATTGAAAATCTCTTCTGTCCCCAGCTTTTACTACTAAAAATACAGGCTTATAATGGATTATCTCTTTTCACATATTTCTTATTATAATAAATACAAGTGTATCCATATATACAAATATATACATACAAAACTTTAATTTTTTTTAAAGATTTATTTATTTGTGCATACAGAACTGGGGTACAGGCCAGAGGCTTAGGGGTGGTGAGAGGCTTCACCAGAGACAGAGTGGGGAGCAGAGCAGGCAGATCGATGAAGTACACTGCTAAGGGGAGCAGTGGGCGTGTCAGGAGAGGTCTGCCACTCCATGTGGTCACCTCTGGGGCAGGTGGGAATCGAACTCATGTGGAAGCGGCTTTAGATTCTCAGTGCTGTGCTTTAACCCGCTGCGCCACCAGGGAGGGCCCACAAAACTTTAATTTTAAATGGATTGTACAATAAACACTCCTCTGAAAATTTTTAGTCATTTATTGTAGTAATACATATTAGATTGTCCTTCAAAACAAGAAAACAGATATACCAATTGCTTTAAAATCATATGATATTCCATAGGACAGAAGTAACTTATTTGATCACTCTCCTTCTGATGAAACTTTAGGTAGTTTCCAGTTCTCTTTCCTTTAAAAGCATGGCTGTGATAAATATCCTTGTACACTTACTGGATATTGTACACTTACTGACACTTTAATTTCTGTTAGGTTTGTCATTACAGAATTTGTCAAATGGTATGCACACTTTATATTTTAACAAATGCTGACAGATTATTTCTCATGAAAAAAGTATCTATTTTATATTTTTCATCCCAGGAATGAAAGGATGTTCAACATATTCAAATCAATATTATACATCATAAAAACAGAATGAAAGGTGAAATTTACACGAGTCTCTTAGAAGATGCAGAAAAGACACCTGACAACATTCATTATTCTTTCATGATAAAAACTCTCAACAAATAGGTGTAGAGGGAAAGAATAACAACATATTAAAGGCTATATATAACAAGCCCACAGCTCATGTCATACTCAGTGGTGAAAAGTTGCAAGCTTTTCTTCTTAGATCAGGAATAAGACAAGGGTGTACATTCTAAGTATTCCTATTCAAAATAGTAATGGAAATTCTAGTCAGAACAATCAAGACACAAGAGGAAGAAGGAAGGAAAAGAGGAGAGAGGGAGGAAAAAAAGGAAGGAGGGAGGGAGGGGAGAAGGAAAGGATATCAAAATTGGAAAGGAAGAAATAAAATAGTTTGTTTGAAAGTAACATGATTTTATAAATTAAAAATCCTAAAGACTTCACAGGTCTACAAAAAACCCCAAACCAAAGAAATAATGAAGTTGTAGGATACCAAACCAATATACAAAATCAGTTGCATTTTTTATAGCAACTATAAATTATTTGAGAAAGAAATAAACAATTTCATTTATATTCACAGCAAAACATTAGAAATAAGCATAACCACATAGCTGAGACATCTGTATGTTGAAAACTACAAGATATTTGAAAAAGTTACAAATGAATGAAAAGATATTCCATATACATGGAATGACCAGAAGAATATTGGTAAAAGTAGATACTATCCAAAGTCATCTATAATTTTAGTGCAATCACTGTCAATTCCAATGGTAGTTTTTAAAATCAGAAACAGAAAAAAGAATATAAAAATTCATATGAAACCATAGAAGGCTCTGAACAGCCAAGCAATCCCGAGAGAGAAGAACAAAGCTGGAGACAGTACACTTTCTGATTTTAAAGTATGGTGCAGAGCTATAGTAATCAAAAGGTGTGATATTCGCACAAAAGCAGATTAGTGGACCGGAACTGGAGGCCCAGAAATAAGCTCATGTATATATTCAAGTTATATTTAATAAGGGAATCAAGAAAATCCAATGGCGAATTGATAATCTTTCAAGAAATTTTGCTGGGAAAACTGTACATGTACATTCAAAAGAATGAAACTAGACTCAGCTCACATCACTCACAAGAAGAAAATAGGAGAAAAAGCTGCTTGATATTCAAATGGCCAACAAGTCAATGAAAACACCTCCGAATTATCAGGAAAATGCAAAGTTAAAAAACAATATATGTTAGAATGGCTATTATCAAAAGGGTGGAAGATAAGTGTTGGCAAGGGTATGAAGAAAACAGATTTCTTGGTATACTGTTGGTGAGAACATACAATTATATAGTGACTATGGAAACTATTCACAGGATCTCAGAAAACAAAAACTGAAGTAACATGTGGCCCAGTAATCACACTTTTGGGCATTTGAAGGAAACAAAATCACAATTTGAAGAAGACTTCTGCACCTTTATGTTCACTGCTGCATTAATTACAGTAACCAAGACATGGAAACAACCTAACTGTCCACCAATGAATGAATGGATACAGAAATATCACAAACCCTGCCCCCCCAATTTTATTCAGCCATTAAAAAAAGGAATCTTTCTACATTGTCACAACATGGATGGACTTCCTGGAGGACATTCTTATAAGTGACATAAGTAATCCCACATGTGAAATGAAAAGAAAAAAATCAACAGAAAGAACAGCTCAGTGATTCCCAGGGCCAGGCAGTAGGATGGGTATGGAAATGGTTACAAGTAGTCCAAAGGTAAATACTTCCAGTTGTAAGATGAGTTAGTTCTGGGGATGCAATGTAAAGAATTAAAACTATAGTCTACAACAGTGTATTGGACATTTGACAGATTCCAAGAGAGTATATTTTAAAAGCTTTCACATGCTACACACAATTGCAACAATAATTAGCTAACCTGATTATGTAATAATTTTTATCATACATGCATATTTAAAATAACTACACTGCTGAACTCACTACACTTACATAATGTTATATGACAATTATATTTCAATAAAACTGGGGAAAAAAGTGTGCTAGCAAAATGATGTAGAGTGACAGGCATGACAGGATACCAGACGTGGTGGTGAGGAAAAGGGCAAACAAAAGTCAACCAACAAAATAAACAGAGTTCCCACTGGGAATCTGGTTGGAATTTCATTTAAATAAACTTTTTTATGAAAAGGATGATCCAAATTTTTAGGCTTAACAATATGGCTTATCTTTTCATTTAGACCAGATTTATATGTACACCTGTGGGTTCCTATGAGCTGCTACTAGCTGGCCACTGATGGGCAGCTGTGACATATTTGCTCTCTACAAATCACAGAGAAAGTCATTGGCTACCAGTTCATATCACAGGCAGGCCGGGGGACGCCTAGGCTGCTGTTGACTGATTATATGACTATATCTGTGGCGGTCTTGGGATAACTCTGCCTGTGATAACATCAAATTTTGCTGACACAACTGTCTCTTGACACATGGTCATGATGTCCCCTCCTGTCCCTTTGAAAACTTTGTCCCTCATTCCTATCCTACCTTCCAGACCTTATTCCTCATTCCATTGTTGCATGATTAGCTTTACTAGCCTGCATGCTTTCAATAAATGGCACAAGAACTTCTGCTCAACTAGCAGAGTCTTGCCTTGCAAATCTGCTCCATTGCTGTGTCCTTCATTGTGTTCCTGCAGCAAAGTGGCAACATACATCCTCAGTAAAATTAAAGTTTCTTTTTCATGTTGATCTCATTTCTTTTTAATAATTTAATACTTAATAGGTTTAATTTTGCTTAACATTGGTTGGTGTCTTTTCTCAGTGTTGCTTTTCACTGTAATCTTCTACAGGAGAGATTCAAAATGATTTATATTGACTCTATGTCAGTTTGTTTGAGGCATAAGAATATCATTATAAGCACACACAAAAAAACTTAAAAACAAACAGCTTCTTATCTCTAGACAGAGTTTACTCAAAAGGAATGATTGGAAATACTGTATGATGATTCATTTATTCAATTACTTATTGAGTTTCTATGACTACATGCCAGGTATATTACTTGGCGTTCAAGATATAGGTGGCAAGTAGAAAACACTCTTGCCTGCAGGAAACTTGAAATCCAGTAGGAGATGTATAGGTAAGAGTGAGCCTGGAGGACAAGAGACCAGTTCACACAGAGCCTTGTGGCATTTAAAATATGATCATGATTTTTTTTTTTTCTTAAGGGTTACTCTGACCTCTGTTTGGAGAATACATACCAAAGGCAACTGTGGAAGTAAAGAAGTCATAACCACGTGGATACAGTCTGAAACTATATTTTAAGTTAAACTAGTAATACATTATTGATAAATTGGTAACTGGATATGGCAGAAAGGTAGGAGTTAGGATGATTCTAGGTTTCAAAATGTGGACTTCATAAGCAACTCAAATATTATGCTGAAAATGCATTTGTCTTTGTGATATTGCAGAAACTATTTAAAGTTCTTAAGGTACATCAGAGGCATCATGCAAGTAGGGGTAGTTGTCAAAATATT